TAATGAAACAAGCTATATGAATGGTTGAATGTGAAGCTGATGATGTGCCCTGTAAACTTTCACTCAATCCAAAATAAAAACATTTAATTAAAAAAAAAAAAAAAAAGAGTAGCATGCAGGTTAGGTGTATTGATAAAGGCAGGTTAGCGCTGAGTCCCAGGTCCCACCAACGGGGCGAGAGAAGCTTCCTTAAGAATTGTTGTCATCTTCCCCCCAGTTGTGTGACTGTGGGTTACACTGTTTTTCAGCTTTCAGGCCTTAATGGTTATGCCTGTTTTTTTTTTTTGTTTTTTTTTTGTCTGTCTCTCTTTTTTTTAACTTTTAAACGATTCTTACCTGAGGGTAGGCAAACTCCTTTTAAAGATAAAAAAGCTGGGGTCTGACCCCTTTTCCAAAGTTGCAACTTATTCTTCTGTGTTGTATTCATAGTCCCTGCTTTGTTTTTCTCCTCTAGCACTTCTTACCACTGTTAAGTGTTGTTGAGTGGGTTCCGACCCATAGTGACCCTGTATCGGGTTTCCGAGGAGCGCCTGTTGGACTTGAACTGCTAACCTTATGGTTCAAATGACTTTGCAGTCCAGCATGTTTACCCACAGTGCCACATCAGAACTCCACAGCAATTTTGATAGGGAAGTTTAATTTACCAATTTTACAGATAAGGAAACTGAGGCCAAAGAAGGTTAAGTAAAATCAGTTTGAGGCCTTTCAGAAATGGCAGAGCTATGATGGTGCAAACCAGGTCTTAGAGTCTCCGTAACCCATGGTTGTTCACCGTGCACTGCTTCCTCCTTGTATAAGAGGCTCCAGGGGTATCACTTCTAAACATCATTTCTTCTTTCCAGATTCGAGTGCACAGAAAATTTGCTGTGGAGGAGGGTGATCATCTCACCATGCTAAACGTGTATGAAGCATTCATCAAAGTAAGCACCACTGCTGCTCAAAGCCTGTTACTCCCCTTCTTGCCCCCCTCCCCCCCCCACACACACACACTTGAGGGACCTAGGATCCTTGAAGCTCAGTTCATTAAGGAATTTCCAAAAGACCCTTTTATTTTCTTGTTAGATTTAGTGTACATCCACTCTCACCTGTGTGTTGAGCCTCCCTCCTGGAAGAACTGGAATCAGTATGGCTTTTCTTTAGGGCTGACTGCTTGGTACTCACAGCACACTCTCCCTCACTGTCCCACAACCATCAGTATATGGGACAGAAGGTAGATTGTGAATAGGAGCTTATGTCAAGTAAGCACACTGACAAAAGCTCTTAATCTTAGGTGAGTCTGTCTGTGGTGAGATGGAACTTCATGTAGCATTGCAATGACTCCGCCCAGCTGCCTGATAGCCCACGAGGAGACATGCACTCATAATCCCTCTCCGTGTGTGAGAAGTGTGGTGGCCCCATAGGTTAAGCACTGGACTGCACATCACAAGGTTAGAGGTTTGGGCCTACCAGCTGCTCCATGGGAGAAAGATGAGGCTTTCTGCTTCCACTGAGATTTACAGCCTTGGAAACACCATACTGGGTAGCTGAGTCTGAATCAACTCAATGTCATTTAACAACAATAATATTCATTCTTATTGTTCTCAACATTCTAGAAAACTGAGGACAAATAATTAGGCATAGAGTTCTCATTGAAAATTCCTAGAAAAGGATCTAATAATAAGAGTGTTGAAAATGAAAAAATAAACCAATCTTTGAGTATGAAGGAAATGTATGAGGGAGAAATTTGGTATTTCAATGTCTTGTAAAATGCTCTTCGTTTGTTTTTTAAGAAGAAAAGTACTAAATACTTTGTTAAATCAGGCATATGAGGAGGATTAATTAATGATCAGTTTCAGAAAATACAATGAACTTTTTTTGCCTTTTGGGTCACATCAGTGAGCATTTGTTTGTCCACGTACAGTGTCCTACCTATAGCTGGAAGCTTCCTCTGCCAGTGGAATGTGTGCCAGGTGTGTCTTGCATCACTCTGTGTTTCCTTTCTTAGAAAATCCTGTGTGCATTAAATTTTCTTATTTTAAACACTTTCTCCCTTGGCTTACAGGATAATTTCAGGGGCACATTCCCACAGCAGCAATGTATGTAAGCCATGCTTAAGAATGTAGAAGACAATTAAGCACTCTGGATGGGAAAATCTCACTTGAGGGATAAATACAGTTGTCCTTCAGTATTCAGGAAGGACTGTTTCTCAGACCCCCTTCTTTCCCCAGAGATACTAAAATTCTCAGATGTTCAAGGTCTTTGTATAAAGAGTGTAGACTTTGCCTATAACCTGTGCACATCTTCCCTTAAACTTTAAATCACCTCTAGATCACCTACACTATCTCAGCAGTGTAAATAGCACTTTAAACTCCGTTTTGAGGTTGCTTTGACCACTCAAATCCTTTTTTTTTTAACTCCTGAATATTTTCAATCTGAGGTTAGTTGAATCTGTGGGTGAGGAACCCAGATACTGAAGACTGGCGATAATTTGTTGTTGTTAAGTGCCATCAAATTGGTTCTTTCTGATTCATAATGACCCTGTTTAGGGTTTCTGAGGAGCGACTGGTGGATTTGAACCACCTACCTTGTGGTAGCGTAGTGGTTACAAATCGGGCTGCGAACCGCAAGGTCAACAGTTCGAAACTACCAGCTGCTCCGCGGGAGAAAGATGAGGTGTTCTGCTCCCATAAAGATCAACAGCCTCGGAAACCCTGTTCAGGGTCGCTATGAGTTGGAACCGACTCCAGGGCACATAACAACAGCAACCTCCTTGTGGTTAGCAGTCCAGTGCTTATCCTACAATGCTTTAGCAGGACTCCTGCTGATTGTAGTAGTGGCGTGCAAATTATTTCTAAATTGTTGGTGCTGTTGTTGTGAAGTGCCATCAAGTTGGTTCCAACCCGTAGTGACCCTGTATAGGGTTTCTGAGTGACTGGTGAGTTTGAATTGCTGACCTTGAAGTTCAAACTTTGCAGTTCAGCACATTTACCCAGTACTCCCATTTTTAAATTGACAAGTGTCCTAATACTTGTCTATCATCTGATAAAGAAAGAAAAATTGGTTTACCAAGAACCACCGGGAAGTCCGTGTTCTTTATAGTCGTTCTCCTCTCCTATAGAACAGTAAGACAGGAAACCAGCTATTGCTGGCCAGTAAGTTTGCCTTTGTTCTTTTGTGTAGAGGGCAGGACCACATAGCCAGGGTGAATGTGGTTGTCAGCATCTGTGTTGAGTATGGGGCAAAAGGACCTCTGTGATCTGAAGATCTTGTTCCATTGAAGCAGCACATGGAAGAAGTGGCAATAGCTACCCTCCCCAGGTGGCCTTGGTCGAGAGTATTTCTGTGTCTTTCTAATTCTCCCTCTGTCTGGGTTGCTCTGTAGCACAATAAGAACTCTCAATGGTGCCAGGAACATTTCTTGAACTATAAGGGTCTAGTGAGAGCAGCGACGGTGAGAGAACAATTGAAAAAGCTTCTTGTCAAGTTCCAAGTGCCCAAGAAATCTAGTGAAGGTAAGAATAAACCTTCATAATGGGTAGCTTCCCTTTCCTTGCCCAAGTTAGTTGCCTTCTTATCAGTTCTGCTGCTGGGCTGGTCTGGACTAGCACTGCCGACCTGCACCTAACCTGGGCTTCACTTTTTCAGTTGGCTTGTGTTAGTAGAAAGCTGGTGTAAACTAAGTGCTTACATATCTACGTGTGTTAATCCCAAGGAGTCTGTTTTCATTTTTGAGGCCTCCTTTCACTAAGCTGAGTGGGGCCCTAGGATGGGGATGGTGGTGTGGAACTGGTTGAATTAGAAAGTGGCAGAGGGCATGCTAGGTTGGAAGGACTGGAGACAAAAACTTTAATAACACTGAAAGACTGCTAACCTTCACTTTATTGCACAATCTTTCCTTTGTTTTCCTATGTCAGCTTAGTAAGAAGTGCATGAGACAGCTCTTACATATGAAACACATTCTGTTTTCAAATACTAGTTTGAATAAAGTAAGTGGTATGTTTTTAGTCTGGGCAGTGACTGAGAATCAATCAGATGGAGAACTGTGTAAGACCTAGTCTCACGTCTAGACTCTACAAGTACTGGTGACTACCGTTAAGGCTGCACTAGGCTACATGGTGGTAGAGTTCTGCAAGTCCACTCTTGCTTAGTCTCCTTCTCTGTGAGGTACAGGTGGCACTCTCCTTATTTTACAGATGACTCATGAAGTCCTATGGAGAAGATAGAGAGGACCACACAACTGGTAGTCAGCAGAGTTCTGTGTGGCTCAGAAATCCCTACTTTTGAGGAAGTCACACATCTTTTCATTCATTAAACAACCGTCTTTTACAGGCTTGCTATGTGCCGGGTACCGTGCTGCACACTGACACCACTAGTACTTGCTAACATTTCTGAAGTGCTTTTAATAGACTTGGTACCATTCTGAGTGCTTTCATATATTAATTCACTTAATGCCAACAACAACCCTGTGAATTTTGTACCATTGTTGTCTTCACTTAATAGATGAGAAAAATAAGGCTAAGAAGCAAAAAACAACTTGCTAGGTCACACAGAGAGCACATGGTGGAGTCAGAGCTTGAACCAGGGCAGTTTTATTCCAGAGCCTTTTTTTGCCTTTGTACCCTTGGGAACTAGTGGTCTTAAAAATGACAAAGGCATGGTTGTCACTGTTGGGGAACTCACAAGGCAGTGAAGGGGAGAGTCTTGCAGACAGACAAACTCTAAGATAAGACAATCATCTTATTAATCATTGCCACCAGTGTGAAGACCCCAATGGTGAATGCAGTAGGAGCGCAGGGAAGAAGGTATCCAGGGCAGGTTGGAGCGGGGGCCTTAATAGCAGACCTCAGAAGTAGAAGCCGAGTGGGGCCCTGGGGTGGGGATGGTGGCATGGAACTGGTCGAGATAGAAACAGTGGCAGGAGGGCTGGAGACAAATGCTGAGAGTGAGGAGCAAATAGAATGCTTAGAGAATATTTGATGAATGGATGAGCTCAGAAGAGAGGGAAGAGTTTAAACGAATTCTAGGTTTTCAAATCTGGGTGATTTTTACGTCATTGATGGAAACAGGAAAACTTTCCAGGGGAGAATCCGTGTTTCTCGATCTGGTTCACATTACCTGCCCTTCACCTCCCAGTCAGGAGAAGCATTACATTCCATTTACATTCTTCCTAACAAGAGACATGAAATAAGACTTTGTTGGGTAGTATTGAGTTTGGGAGAGTCACATCATTGTGATGTTTTCTAACACATCTCTTCCCCCACCTTCCCCCTTGACAAGAACTGATTTTCACCTCTTTGGATGCCATTGTTGTTGTTGTTAAGTGCTGTCAAATTGGTTCTGACCCATAGAGACCCTGTATAGGGTTTCTGAGGAGAGGTTGGTGAACTTAAACCACCGACCTTGTGGTTCAAACCGACTTTGCAGTCTGGCGCATTAACCCACAGCGCCACACCAGGACTCCATATTGGCCTATTAAAAGTGCGTATTCTTCATGGAGCTGTCTTAAGGACAATTGGAGAGAAATGATTAAAAATGTAGATTTTGGAATTAATCAGTGTGTGCTTGGAAACGATAGAGAAAATCATGGCAATTAAATACATTGCAAATAAAAAATATCTTAATGTTTAGACATGAGAGAGAAAAGATTTAAAACTTCATTATAGTATTATTTCATTTAACCTCTTTGTAATAAACACCAATTTCCAAGTTGGCAAGTGTGCAAAGGACTAGGGCAGAAAATTCTTCAGTAAACTACAGATAGTAATTAAGTAAATGTAAAATAAAAGAAGCTGGCCTTTTTACACATTATTGATGGATTTGTAACTTGCCTTTTGGGAGCTTGCTTACCAACATTATTTATAAGACATGCCGTTATTTTATGTACCACAAAAAAAGACAAGAGGAGCCCTAATTAAGTGCTTGACTGCTAGCCACAAGGCTAGAGTTTCAAACCTACGAGTGTATCTGAGGGAGAAAAGATCTGGCAGTGTGGCTCCATGAAGATTACAGCCTAGGAAATTCTTTGGAACAGCTTTACTCTTGTCACATGTGGTCACTAGGAGGTGAAATTGACTGGATGGCACACAATGACAAGAAATAAATAATGTTGCCATTTATAATTGTAAAATGCTATTCAGACTCCCATGAAATAGGTCATTGGTCTTGGAAAATTCTATCACATAATCTATGGCATGATTTCTATTGCTCTTGTTAAGTGCTGTCGAGTCTGTTCCAACCCATAGCGATCATTTCTATTCCAAGACCATAGTTTCCCATTACTGACCTATGTTTCCAACTTTTGCATTACAATCACATGTAATTACCAGATCTTGAGTGCATGTTTGATCAATTTCAGAATGAAGAGGTTGATAAAAATCTACAGTTTCTTTATCTTTGGTTTCAGTGGTTGGTGCATAAGTGTGAATGGTAGTATTACTAACTAGCCTTCCTTGTAGGGGAATAGGTATTGTCCTATCACTGGCAATGCTGTACTTTAAGATAGATCTTGAAATGTTCTTTTTGATAATGAATGTGATACTGTTCCTCTTCAATTTGTCATTCCCAGCATAGTAGACCATATGATTCCTGATTCGAAATGGCAAATACCAATCCATTTTACTTCACCATTGCCTATGATATTGATAGTCAAGCGTTGCATTTCATTTTTTATAACATTCATGATTCATACTTTGTACGTTCCATGTTCTAATTATTAATGGATGCTTGTAGTTGTTTCTTCTCATTTTGAGCCATGACTTTTCAGCACATGAAGGCCCTGAAAGCTTTACTCTCCTTATGCATAATTAGGATCCACTCTGCTTTGAGGAAGCGTCTCTTCTCCAGTCATATTTTGAGTGCATTCCAACCTGAGAGTCTTGTCTTCAAGCGCCTATTAGACAGTGCTATGCTGCGATTTATAGAGGTTTTCATTGGCCAGTTTTTCTTAGGATTAGATCATCAGGTCCTTCTTTCCAGTCTTTCTTAATCTGGAAGCTCCACTGAAACCTCTGCACCATGGATGACCCTATTGGCATTTGACATACCGGTGGCATAGCTTCTTTTAGCATCACAATAACGTGCAAGCCACCACGATGCACCAAACTGATACACAAGTGGTGGACATTCAGACAACTTTAGGAGATAATGTATGGTTAAGAACCAATGGAATTGAAAGAAGTCCAAACAGCACTGAAGACATTGGTGAAAAGCAAGACACCAGGAATTGAAGGAATATTAGTTGAGATATTTCATCAAATGGATGCAATGCTGGAAATGCTTACTCATCTATACCAAGACATTTCGGAGACAGTATCTAGCCAACTGATTGGAAGAGATCCATATTTGTGAACATTCCAAACAAAGGTGACCCAGTGGAATGTGAAAATTATTGAAAATAGCATTAATACTACATGCAAATAATATTTTGTTGATGGTGATTAGAAATTGTTGCAGTAGTACATCGATGCTGTACAAATTAAAGCCAGATTCAGAAGAGAAAGTAACTGAGAAATATCATTGCTAATGTCAGATGTATCTAGGTAGAGAATACGAGAAAAAAGTTTATCTGTGTTTTATTGACAATACAAAGACATTCAACTGTAGAAAAAAACAAACTGTTGATAACGTTGCAAAGAATGGGAATTCCAGAACACTTAATTTTACTCATGAGGATCCTGTACATAGATTATTAGACAATTGTTCAAACTGAACAAGGGGATACTGAATGGCTTAAAATCAGGAAAGGTGTACATGAAAGTTGTATACTTTCACTATACTTAGTCTGTATGCTGACCAAATAATCTAAAAAACTGGATTATATGAAGAAGAAAGTGGCGTTGGGATTGAGAAAGAGTCATTAACAACCTACAATAAGCAGTTGACGCAATTTAGCTTGCTGAAAGCAAAGACTTGAAGTACTCGCTGATGAGGATCAGAGATTACAGCACTCAGTAAGAGTTAACACTTCAACATGAAGAAAACAAATCACCAACTGGACCAGTAAACAACAGCATGATAAATAGAAAAGATTGAAATTGCTGAGGATTGTATATATATATATATATATATAATTTTTTTTTTTCAAGTTTGTATTGTGAATTGAGTGATAGTTTACATGGGAGAACATTGGTTTTACACCATTGTTTCATTGTAATGATTACAACCTCCTCCGTGCATCATCATTTAACAGTATTTGTTTCTATTCCATCTGAGTTTTTTTTTTTTTTTTGCGGGAGTCGGGTGTGTGTGTGTGTGTACACAAAAACACTCAGGAATATATAATAATTTAAAGAACCAAGATGCCCATTCTGGAAGCCTGCCTCCTGGCTGCCAGCACTCAGTCTTTCTCTTTACATGATCCTAGAGTCCTTAGCTGCTCTCTCTCTCTCCATGTCCTCATCTCTCCTTCCATCTATGGTGTTGCTGTTTTCTCTTTCCATTAGTCTAGGGTTGAGGATTGTATTTTACTTGGATCTGTAATCAGTGCCCATTGAAGCAGCAGTCACGAAATCAAATGACATAATCTAGTGGGCAAATCTGTTGCAAAAGACTTCTTGTAAAGTGTTAAAAAGCAAAGATGTCACCTTGAGGTATTCTTGACCTTTAGTCACTTCATGTACAAGCGAAAGCTGGAAAATGAATAAAGAAGACTGAAGAAGAATTGGTGCCTTGGAATTATGATGTTGGTGAATTTTGACTGCAAGAATGACAAGCACATATATTTTTAAAGAAGAGCCAGAATGCTCCTTTGAAGGAAGAAGGGTGAGACTTTGTCTTTGGTACTTTTGACATGCTATCAGGAAGGACTTCTCTGGAGAAGTAGAGAGTCAGTGAAAAAGAGGAAGAACCTCAACAACAGTGAGCTAAAAATATAGCAGTGATGTGAGGATTATGCAAGACTGACTCTATGAGTCAGAACCAACGATAGCATTTAACAACAACAGTATCATCCTGACTGCAGTAAATTACAGTATAAAGAAAAGAGTGAGTCTTAGAATTGATGAACTATGGTATGTATGTAATAAGCTGTAAAAATGACATTATCCTTTTGCGTAATAATTTGGAATGTATCCTATTGACATCATTTAGATTCATAGAAGATGTTTATTGTAGCAATAGAGATACCAATTGAAATGGAATATTTGAAAATTTTTGAAGAATTATGCAGTGTTGATTATAATCATAGAAATAATACTGCATAGTGTCCAAGTTTATGTCTTATAGAAAGAAAATCGTTCCTACCAAACCTTTCCTAAAATGTTGTTGAAGTCACTGGTAAGTTTGTGGAGTGACTTTCTGTGCTAGAACCTAAATCATTGTGGGCCGGCGACTGGTTGGGATAGTAACATCCTCAAGAGTAATCTGTCATTGCTTCCTACAAAGTAGAGGGAGCCAATGCAGGCACTGGGCATTAGAGGGCTGGTGTAGAAGACAGTTGGGAGGGATAGTGAAACAGTGTGTAATGGGGCCCCACAGCACAGAACTGAGCACACAGGGTGCCAGGAAAGTAAGGTTCTCACCCACCTCTCTGTTACCTGTCTAGGTGATCCGGACCCGGTTCTGAGGTGCATTGTTTCAGGATTCTTTGCAAATGCTGCGAGGTTTCATTCTACTGGAGCTTATAGGTAACACTGTACTTTGTGAATTCATTTGTTAAGGGAGAAATCTTAAAAATGATCCCAACTCTAAAGAAAGCTGATGTGTGGGGATAGTAAAGAAATTAAATAATAGCTTTTAATTATACTGTTACTCCTTTCAAAATGAGTTGAGGTTAGCTACATAGCTTGAAGCAAAATATTTTAACTTTCTGGACTCGCTTCTCAAATACTGAGCCCCTGCACACTTTGTGGTATATGCTTTGAAAGGATGATAGTTACAAGTCTAGAGGCTGGGAATGCTTCACTTCTAACAACTGGATAATATGATGCAAAGGAGCCATTAAAGAGCCCTTTCTTAGAGAAGGTACTTTTGCCATTGGTTGATTCATTATGATTTTAGAGATTTGCAGGACTGACGCCAGGTACCCCAATAAATTGTAGGCATGTCTTAGGAGGTTGACATGTATTGTTTCCTTATGTGCTACCAACAGACTTCCTGCTATAATCTAGTCTGTTTCTTCCTTTTCCAGTTTCTAGGCATAGAAGATCATTGATAATTGATGTCCTCCTCGTAGCTGTTAGTATATTGGAATACAGTCAAAGCTAAAAGATAGCTAGGTTCTGTTTTCTTCACAAAGTATCTCATTCTGGTTCTTTGAATTGTTACTTTTAGTCTGTGTGTTTTGTCCCTTACCTCATTTTAGTCCCATGCCTTCACTGTAGCCTGTCTAAAATGTAGTGATCATAATTGTCTGTTCTTCTAATAAGGGAACAATTAAAATTATGTTCTCTTCAGTTCTTTTTTTACTGTCTTCCATTTACTGATTTGCCACTAATTTTCCCCCTCTCAGAAAATATTATAGACCTGTTAGCTTAGGAAGGAGCTCTGGTAGCGTAGTGGTTACGAATCGGGCTGCTAATCTCACAGTCAGCAGTATGAAACTACTAGCTGTTCCACGGGAGAAAGATAAGGCTTTCTGCTCCCTTAAAGATTTACAGCCTTGGAAACCCTGTACAGGATCGCTATGAGTCGGAACTGACTCCACGGCACATAGCAACAACAACATTTGCTTAGGGTCAACCACAGTATCTCTTGTCCTTGACACTGGGCTTTTATTTGAATCCAGAGTTGCGCTGCTTTTTAATTTTTTTGGTAACCAAGTCTCTTCCATCTAGTATCCTAGTAGTTGGCTATTTAATCTAAGTTAGCAGTTCATAATTATCTCTAGCATTTCTATTCCTTACTCCAGACCAGGTCTTAGAGCCTATTCAACCATGATTCTGTTGCTCAGAGTATAAACTCTCCCTCTCAACATTGAGTTGTCCATCTTTGAGGCAGCTCTTCCTGTTTCCTCATGGATCTTCTCTAGTAGTGAGTATTGTTACTTGCCATTTTGACTTCCCTCTCACCTTCATAAATGTTAACTATAAGTTTCTACTGTTGTTTTTAAGTGCCGTCAAGTCAGTTCCGACTCATAGCTCTACTATGTAGTTTCTGAGGAGTGGCTGGTGAGTTTAAACTGCTATCCTTGCAGTTCAAATCATCCTTTTAGCCCAGCGCTTACCCTACAGTGCCACACGAGGACTGATTTCTTTCATCCATGTCCTCAACCAAAATATGGGCTATTTAGGGAGTCTCTGGGTGGTACAAATAGTTAACATGCTTGGCTGCTAATAGAAAGGTTAGGAGTTCAGGTCTACCCAGAGGCACCTTGGAAGAAAGTCCTGACCACCTGAAAGATCAGCCATTGAAACCTTGTGGAGTGCTGTTCAGTTCAGACACACATGGAGCCACCACGAGTGGGAATTGAGTGAATGGTAAATGGTTCAGCAGACTCCAGGGCCTGTCAGTTCCTTTGCTATAAATGTCATTGTTGTTCAGCTCACCAGCACCTGGGTGGGCAGCCAGGACCACACGTTGTGCTACTGAGTTGATTCTGACACTGTATAGTGTTTCCGAAGAGTGGCTGATGGGTTTGAACTGCTGACCTTGTGATTAGCAGGCTAGTGCTTATCCTAAGCACCACATCAGAACTCTAGGCATTTGTTAGAGTGGCAGTAGCTCAGTGTGCTCCTTGATGCCCATAGAAATGCTCCATTTCTATAGTTTGGGTAGAGGCAGCCCAGTGTCAGTGTATCAGTGTGCTCTTCTGATCTGATCATTATCTGTAGGTGTGTGCTTAGGAAATCAATTTCAAATTAAATAAATCGTGAGTTAGAATTTAAAATGTTATCTCAGAGAAACGAAAAGGCAGTTACTGAGCTTTCTCATCATTACCTGTGCTTATGTAGTCTTTGTCTAATTATTTAACTTTATTTAGTATAAGAGTTTTATAAAAGTATTCACATATATTTTTCTGTCCATGAGGAAATTGTTTGAAAGAGAATCCACAGAAGATAAGTTTTATATATATGTGTGTGTGTGTATATATATATTGTTTTTGTTAAGTGCCGTCGAGTTGATTGCCACCCGTAGTGACCCTGTATAGGTTTTCCGACAAGCAGCTGGTAAGCTTGAACTGCCGGCCTTGCAGTTCAAACGGCTTTGCAGTCTGGTGCATTAACCCACAGCGCCACACCAGGACTCACACTCTCTCTGTGTGTGTATGTGTGTGTATATATGTACATATACACACACATACACACACATAATACATATATATATGTACACACATATATATAAAGCTTATTTTCTGTGGATTCTCTTTCAGACAATTTCCTCATGGACAGAAAAAAAAAAATATATATATATATGGAGCTCTGTTAGCTTAGTGGTTACGAATCAGGCTGCTAACCTCAGGGTTAGCAGTTCAAAACTACCAGCTGCTCCATGGGAGAAAGATGAGGCTTATTACTCCCGTAAAGATTTAAAGCCTCAGAAACCCTGTACAGGGTCGCTATG